CAGGTTGTAGAGCTTAGTTAATAAAGGCTATGATTAGTCTATGCAAGTTGGTATCAGCTTAAATAAGTCTGTATTATAGAAGCAAGAAAGCAATGAAGCTATTCCATTTTTGAGTGAATTAAGTTGTTTTTTCTAGCAATACAGACTGAAAATAAATTGAAGTTCTCATTTACACAATGTTCGTAGCACAGTGTTCCTTGGCATACTTTTAAGGACAACTTCTTGAAAGAATACTTTGAAATTAGATGAAAAATTTTGAAATAATAGGATAATGAGTAAAGTGCTCAAACAGGTTTTCAGTTAACATTAACTAATAGTATTGGTTGTTACTTGAACTGAGGCTGGTATTTTACTATGCAAAGTAATGAACACCCAGTGAAAATGCCCATCCAAATGCAAATCTGAACTGATGTTCAGATGGCAGAACGGTAACGTAAGGTAAAATAACAGAATTCCAAAGGTCATTTTGAGCCAAACAAATGTTTTTCAGGCTTTAAAGAAGTTGGTGTGAAAGGTATAAATAGCAAAAGTTTCTAAATGGACTCTAAATTAGGAGGACAAAGATTAAATTTGAAAAGAAGACATTCAGTAAGATTATGCCAAATCACTAAAAATTATCTAAGTCCTGTGAGGTATGAAGTCAGCAATTAAGGTACATTGGGATACTACAGGAAAGCAAAGTTATGCTTCTTATAACCCACACAGCATATTTCAGTATTTAAAAAGTAATCAGTGGGCCTCCTGGAAATTGAAACTATTATTGGTCTATTGATGATGAACATATCCAAAAAATGGTGATAAATAAGAGCTATGGGGTGCAACTGCCATGGGTCATCTAAAAAAAAAAAAATCAATTTCTTCACAGCCCATGATTTTCCTCCAGATTATGTTGTTATGATAAAAGAGTGAGTGTTATCAGTATTGCAGTATTTTATGACTCTTACAAAAACGCTCAATCTTTTGATTACTCAGTGATGGAAAAATGGATTATGTTGCAGAACTTTGGAGGAGAATTATTTAGGTCACTGAAAAATAGCGCTTGGAATCATATGAAAGTTAGAGAATCTATAAATAAAATTATATATATAGTTCTGTATATTAATATATATTTAAATATATATTGTATATATTCAAATATATGAATAGAATTATAGAGGCAAATTTTGGCTTTGTAAAAGCAAATAAATCACATTGGAAGAAGTAGCTTGAAGTATTGATGAAGTGTAAATGGCCTATAACAACTATTGAGGTACCTTCCAACCTAAATAATCCTACGATTCTGTGATCAAATGTCAAAGCTGGACCTACACTGAGCAGGGAATTGGACCTGATTGACACGATGATACTGTGATTTGAACTACCAACATGAGAAAAAGATATAAGCATTAGTATGGATTATTACCTTTTATGGCTTATCTATTATTAGTTAACAAAATACAGCTGCGCAGTGGAAAAACTGAAATATTTTAAAATTTAGAGAATACATAGATAAAAACTGAAGAAATGTCTGTATTTTTAACCCAGCTGCACTATCTTTAGTTGAACAGCTACAATTCATATCAGTCAAGAAAGTGACTTAATGTTTTTGTAATGTATATGCTTGCCTATAGATCTGACTGAGGTTTGGTTATCTACCATATCGTTGATTCTGATTGCAGCTTATTTCTGAGTAAGCTAAATCAATATCCTACTATCCAAAATTTCCATGAAAATTTTTTAAACTATGCCTGTTGAAAATAGGACAAGATCATTGCCTATTAGAATCTTTCAGCAGACACTTTAAGAAAAAAAGTAATCAGTAGGATAAGAAAGCTGTCACTTGCCTATATGGCTGTTGCAGAGACTTGTTTCCTCCTTCAGGTTAGTAAAGATATACTCTTCACTGGTTTTGTCCAGCACAAGAGCAAACAGTTGCTTAAAGTTTTACTGCATCTGCTATCTCATACCTTTTGAAGTGAGTGAAGACTAATAGGAGGTTTTATCTTCATTTTTCAGAGTGATAATAGGGGTACTAAAACCTAGAAAGTTGTCAGAAAGTTTCCTAGAATTGTTCACACAGCTGCGTGTTTGACTACACAGATGTTCTAACTGGTGATGTCAAATGGCTGTGCTTTGTCAGAAGTTTGTAAGTTTGAATTAAGTGGACTTACACATCTCTCCCACTTGCAGTTTTATGTCAACCGTTAACATTGTTCCAAGTAGTGATGACCGTATTGATTGATTATTATTTTTTTTTTTTTAAATTATATGCTTATATGCACTGTCTCAACACAACTCTATGTGTGTCAGAATTATTTTGACAACAGTAAGTGGCAGAAGTCCTGAAGCATGAGGGGCTTCTGTAGCCATTTCAAAATTTCTAATTGTAATGACAACACAGTATTTGATGTGTATTTGTGAATATTTCATTCTATCACTTTCCATTTGTTACCCATACCTTCAGTAATAGTTCCATTTTTTTTGGTCTCATATTGTTTAGTTTTACAAAGTAAGGAACTCTTAATCTTCTCTGTGAAATAACCATAAGATATTTTCAGTTCCTTCTTGAAAAGTAGCACTCATTAAGACTTGACCTAGTAGTTAAGTTTGCGCCACCAAGTTGTTTGTTTTACCTTAATGAAATACATTTTGTTTATTTCTGATTTTGATTCTCAGCAAGTCTTGCAACTTCATTATTATTCAAACGATGTATCACATGCAGTTTAAAGCTGAAATCTGTTTGGGTTTTTTTCACAGTCTTCTTCAGTATTCTTGTGATTTTGATATATTTTAATCCAGTGTCCTGTATGCAGACAGCTTTCCTAGTTATTGCTGGCCAATCTAATTTTCTTCAAAACCTTAAGACAGCCCGTGGAAATTTTTAGAAGCACACTCTTGTTCTTTGAATAGTATGGAACAGTGTATTGGGTGCTTTTAAGGGTCAGAATGCCAAGAAGTGGGTCACATAGCTCAGAAAGCTTTATCACTAGCAAGACTTTCCAAACGGCTATCTTTACACAACAACATATTTTTTCAGTGCTAAAATGAAGTTTTAAAACTTGTCAGTGATACATACTTAATAAAAAAAAAAAAAAATTTCAAAAATCACCTTTTTATATGCACCTTAGCATTTGGTTTTTTTCCTCAAAAGAATTGCAGTGAATTTTCTTCTCTAACTCAACTGGAGTCTTTGCTTTCTTTTCTCAGCCAAGATTACTATTGTTTCTTTTGCCACCCTCTTCTTTCCCCCAGTCTCAGTTGAGGGGAAAAGGGTAAAAAGGATGGAACCTCAAGTGTTCTTCCATACCATTTCCAAGCTGAATGTTTCTCATCTGGACTTCTGACTACATCTGCACTAAATTTAGCATTTCCCTGGCTTCAGGCTGCTTTTCTTTATTGCAGCTTTCTGAAGATATGCTGATATACTACCCATCATCTTATAAGAAAACTTAAATGCCTATTTTTTTACTAAATTTATGAACTTTTACTAAATCTTTTCCTGTAAGTGTGATATAATGGATGGTAAAAATATGAATTGGCTTCATGAATTAAAAAGTATCATCCATACCTACAGTGCATATTCTATGGGAAATTCTTCTGAAGGATCCCTTTACACTGGTGTTATGCAACACAGTAATGAAATACTAACATACAGAGATATCTGTGAAGACAGATTTTTCCAAATTACTAAAAATTAATTGAAAATATACCTGACCTTAACAAACATTCCTTATTTGAATAACTGTGTCTCAGAGAGTTACTGCTGAATTTTGACTAGTTTTGTTAGGCTCACTGGTGTTAATGTAACCTCTGGCAATTTATGACTTAATCATGCAATTGTCATGTTTCTAGGACTTTGTCACAAATATACTGAAATGATTTTTAGTGCATGCAAAAGTGTTCTAACCTTAGGGATTTTTAACTGTTCTTAAAATAAGACTCACCTTTGCACTGAACTGATCTTTTTTAACCATTAGGTTTCCTTGGTCATCAACAGTTATATGTGTTTAATTTGCTTACATTTTAAAAAGTTTTCTTTTTTGGCTGGTGAACACTAAACAGATAATTAGCCATCTTTGGCAGTAAACACTGCAGACAATGTCAATATTCTTTTGGAGGAAATGAACACACTAGAAATCTTACCTGAAATGTTCGGTGTTTCAAAAATGTAATGCTTTATGTTATGTTGTCATGTATTATAATTTATTTCAGTATATGAAAGTACCTTTGAATTATCAGTTATGTAGACACATTTGTGTAATTTGTAAAAATGCTTAAAAAATGTTTAGTGGCTTTTTAACTGGAATGCAAGTCTCATCTAAAACATCTGTATATTCCACTTAGCATTTAAAGTAGTACAAATTTTTACCTGTATGTAAATCACATGCTTGCATAGTGCTTGACAATTTTCCTTGATCTATTTAATTTGCTACTTCATAGTTCTTCCAGACAGGAATTGTCTGTCTTTCTGTCCTTTCTCCTCTTCTGTCAGTAGAGTAGCTAAATCAGTGGTTCTAATGATGTCTGAAATGCTGAGATTTACTGCAGTAAAATGTATTCAAAAGAGCAGAAGGGCTGTATAGTGTATTTTTAAGAATTTCTTATGTCTTTAAATATTTCTTTGTTTATTTTTTAAACAGGTAACTGAGTTTTAAGCATTTTAGATAACAAGTCTGTCCAAATAAGCCTTAGCACACAGTAGTGGTGTAGTTGTATATGAAAAGGTATGAATATATAAACAGGAACACTTTTTATATTTTATTAACTATCAGCTACTAAGAATTCAAGGACTTTCAACTTTATTCTGCTGGAGTGGATTGTTAGATACAGTTGGTACATAACTCTATTCTAAAACTATTATTTTTATTAATTTTTTTTATGCTATTTTGAAAAAGTAGAGCAAGGATTAGGTAGTCTTGAAGTTGCAGCTTAGCTGATATGTTTGGGATCTTACTTGCAGATGGTAAATCTTATTAATAAAGTAAACTACTTGACTCATCCTAGTATGTATTTTAAAACAGGTGAGGCTAATGATAAGGATGTTCAGGTGGTGGAACTTCCCATTGTTGACAGCTTACACCCACGACCACCTTATTTACCATTGGCTATTCCCGAAGACCTGGCCGATAGACTAATTCGTGTACATGGGGATCCTGCAGTGTGGTGGGTCTCGCAGTTTGTGAAATACTTGATTCGTCCACAGCCTTGGTTAGAAAAAGAAATAGAGGAAGCCACAAGGAAACTTGGTTTCAAACATCCAGTGATCGGGTGGGTATTTAGTTTTCTTTTTAACTGTCTGTGTATATAGTGATTCCTGTTCAGAACAAATTGTTTTATGATGGATATCCAAGAGGCTCAAGCATTTTGCGGGGTGAGAGGGTGCTTTCTAGATAAAGCTATTTTTTTTTAACTGTGCACAACATAAATTGATTAGAAGTACTTCCTCAGCATACTTGCCTACCTGTAGCTGGACAGATACCCAAAAGGCAGCTCAACAGAAAGGTTTTTTGTATGTCCTTCCATATCTAGTAATATAATACGGAATTTCATTCATGTAGCTGCCTTACAGCTTGTGTTCCAGACACTTTTCTGTCTGGGTCTTCTTTTCAAATGCTGATAGCCTTTACAGTTGAGGAAAAAAGTCTAAGCCTACATTTTACATGCCACAATCCACAACTAATTTTATTGTTGGCTGCACCTGAATATAGTATGTGCCTTTCCCTTCCCTGCTGATGTTTTCACTATTGTTGCTTCTTAGCAGTATGAATTGGAAAGGTCTGTATGGGGAGATACAGGGAGAAGGAAGGAAAGTACCTATGGGCAGTAATGAGCAGCTTGTGGAAGAAAGGTTTTACTGTCATGTAACGTGAAAAATTCTGCTGCTGCTGTACTTGAGTCTGCAAATACTGCTTCCTTTGCCAGAATTTTCCTTCAACCCTTAATCTTTCTTTTTGTAGGAGTACACAGTAGGTCTGTCCAAATATTAGTTGGCTTTTGACCATTAAGTTGGAAGGCCGCTTCACCACGGGTGGATCTTTGTTAGGTTTCAAGCAGATGGAGAAGATGCATTTTTAATTACCTTCAATCAAACCCTACATTGTAGTTAGTGTCCCAATATATCCATGATGCAAATATTCCTGTTTTGTTTTTGAACTGTATTGATCAAGCATTGTCTAACTACACCAGCTAACATATCATTCTGCACAAAAAGAATACCTTGTATGCTATAATTAAATCTCCTTCATTCTTTTCTTCCAGTTATCCTTTGCCTCCTTGCAAGATTATTATATTGCTTTGAAGAAGACTGACAGATAATACTGTCAGTGTGTCTTGATGGACATGAATGAGTTTTAATCCTTTCTTGTTTTACGTAGGGATTCTATTTAATATGAATTCTAAAATCACAGGCATGAAATTTAAAGTTTAAATTTCAGTTACTAAAGCATGTATTGTATTTATAAATTGAATTCTTAGTTTCTGCCTTTTTCCAGTGTTCACGTCCGAAGGACAGACAAAGTAGGAACAGAGGCAGCATTTCATCCCATTGAAGAATATATGGTACATGTTGAAGAGCGGTTTGAACTTCTTGCTCGCAGAATGCATGTTGATAAAAAAAGAGTGTATTTGGCTACAGATGACCCTTCATTGTTGCAAGAGGCAAAATCCAAGTAAGATGAATTATATTTATATTACAGTTTGTTCCTTCTGGTTAGCTTCTCAATTTCTGACTATTTTGTGTAGAAATCTTAGTGTATTTTTTTTTCTTACCATTTCTACAGTTAAGATGGCATTTTAGCTTCCAGTGGTTTTGATTTTTCTCTCAGACATTCTCTTTCTTTGAGTGATTTCTTTTTTTCCCCAAGAATGCTTTTCAAAGCTTAATGTTAAAAATCTAGATACCTGCGACTATTCAAAACCAAAGCAATGCTGTAAAAGGGAAGTGAAAATATAAATATAAACACACCAAGCTTCTTACAGAATATCTATATTAAAAATAAATTATTCAGAAATATTGTAAAAACTAGTTAATGTATTAAGAAGTTTCACCTGTCCGAACAATACCTTTCTGTGAATAGTAGCCAGAGAAATTTTTACAAGTTGGTTGAAAAGCCTCTGATGACTCTCTCAGAAAGATTTTTGTATTGAAAGCTTAGAAGACTTTCACCCTACATGTTGAATAATTTTAAAGTTTGTCCTTAAATATATGTGGGATTCCCGATCGGTAACATTGTCACTGTCCCTTTTTTGCTCTTTGTCTTCTTCTAGCTCTCCACAACACGGGTGTAACAACCTACCCTAGCTGTAGGATATCTCAGCCTGTCATAGAAAATATAACTGTGTTCAAACCTTGAAATGCACAGTATGCATTCATTTACTCCTAACATGGCCTGTATTTTCCTGTAAATCTCATTAAGTTGCATCTTTTGCAAGGTGTCACTGAGATGGCAAAACCTTCTGTTTAGTAAAAGCAAGCAGATGCATATGGAAGAATAATGTTCCAAGTTTAACTGTATCTTTCTTGGGTTGTGGTGTTTATGGTATATAAACAATTTCACAAATGCTTATCAGTATGACTATGGAAACTTGGATAAGTATTTCAGATGCACTGAATTTAAGTGTATTCATTACCGAGTAAAAGTTAGCATCTTTTCCATTTGAGTCCTATTTAATTAGCTGTCTACTGAATAGCACCTATTTCTGTTTCCAAAATTTTATCTCCCTTGAGCTGAGCAGAGAATATGTATTTTTTTCATTTAAGCAAGGAAATTAATACTTTTCAAAATCAAGGTAAATCAAAAGCAGCAATTTTTTGAAGTATTTATTCTTGGTAGACATGCAAGGAAAAATACATAAGATAACATACTGCATTACAAATTTTTTTTGGCATATACAAGCTAAGCAGAAAATGTTATTTTGCAGTAGAGGAATTTTCTACAGCTTTGCAAACCTGTGTGTTTCAATTGTGCTATTTCTATTTTTCTTTCATATCTATAAAGGGCTGCTGTTTAAAATTATGGAGTTTTGGAAAAACTAAACAAGCATACACAACTCCAGATGATGGCAATCTAATCCTTCCTTTTTTGTATATATATATATATATATATAGACAAGAACAGTAGCAGAAACAATTATGATAACATAACATTTAAAGTGCAAATCTGAACAATGAAAAGACAGGTAATACAAAATTGAGGTTACAATATTTAATTCATTACATTGTCCTAAATAACTTTAAGTACTGTTTGTAACATAACAGAATTCAATACTGCTGTAAGAGTCTTAGTTACGCATTTCTTCTTTGTGTTCAACTTTCAATCCTTAGCACTGTATACTTAGGTTTGTGAATAAGGAGATGCACTACCTATGTAAACATATTGTCCCAAGTTTTCAACAGCAACAAAATCCAATAGCAGAATTATGACTTGCTCAGTAAACCGATACCAAATTTTATTAAGCATTGCTGTTTCTGTGGCAGTGCAAGGTTGTGATGATACAGCTCATTAGTACAGCATTCGTTTTGTATGTTTTCTTAATAAAAGCCATAGAATCTGTAAGTAGTGGAATTTTTGTGTGGCTGCTGAGTTTTCAGGTCATAGTTTACACCTAAATATAATTTCCTAAGTTGCTTGCACCCTATTGTTGCTTGCAATTCAGTAGAGGGCATTTTAAACTTCCCTGTGATTTCATAGAAGGCAGGACACATCGTGATGCTTCAGCATTTAAGGGCATCTGAAGGCAGGTTAAGGTCAGATTTGGGGAGCAAAGAACCTTTTGTTCCTTTTCCTGTGAAGAAAGTTCCAAATTAGCTTACATGTCTGACAGAAGAGTTCTAGTCATACTGAACTACCAAGCTTTGGTAGAAACAGCTGTCACATTGTACTGTGGTAGGTTCTGTTGCATTCATTATTGGGTGCAGTAATATCAGTAAGTACTAGATAGAAGATAATCTCTTTATATGAGTGATTGGCTGTCAAACAGCGTTGGCCATTATTTCTGTGAGTAGAAGTATTTCAGACTATTCCTAGTCATGAAAACAGAAATGTTTTGACTGTAGTTTCAGAAACTTCCCTTGCAGTCAGATGTCTATCAATTGCAATTACAGTACTATAGTGGAGTCAGTACTATCAGTTTGTAGAGTGGCTTTGTTTGTTTAGTTTTCCAAAAGAAAAAAAAAAAAAAGCAATATATTTTCAGAATTATCATGATACAAGAACAAAATGATTAGAGAGGAGCATGGTTGAGAGTTCAACAGCTGTAACGATTATGGGATTAAAGCACTTGACAACTTTTTGTAAACAGAGGTCGTGGTATTTGTCTTAGGTAAGTGATATGTTAGGGATGGTGTAAATTGCTTGTTATTGGCCAGATTTAGTAGTTTTCAAATACAAACTTCTGCATTTCTACTATATTTTTCCATTCTATAATGTTATTTACAGCATCTTCTCTTTTTAAGGTAGATTATTCAAAATAATGCAGTTGAACACACACATAAATTCTTAAGAAACCATATTTAATACATTTTTGGTTTATATATGAATCTATTTAGGCCTCTTTCTCATGTATATGAGCATTAAAATCCAATGAATTGCGTTCTTCCTGTCAGGATTTTTACGCATAAAGTCATCTGTATTTTGCTTTTGCCTTTTTTTTTTTTCTCTTTTTTCCTTCAGTAGTTTGCCTCTCTCATGAGGTTTGGAGGCTTTTTTCAGCACTTATGAAACTGCTTCTTCCACCCTCTTTCACTGTTTATTTGCTTCCACATAGCAGGTGAATGTCTTTTCTTCCTGTGTACTATCTGTACTTTAGCTGTTTCAATCCTTCCTGCCCCTGTTACGTAGAATTCAGTGCTTCAAAGTTCTTGAGTCTGAATAGCTCATATATTTTCCAATTCTTTTTAGAGCAAGACCTGAACAAACACATTACTTCTTAACTCCATCAGTTTACACACATGCTCACACTCTTCTTTCATTGGGAAGAAAACTTGGATTGCCTGTTCTGGACACCTCCCCAGTCCTAGCGAATTGAGAACAGGAGCTTGGAACTTGCCCTGGTTTGCACCCTTTGCACAGGGTAGTGATAAGCTATACTGACACAACTAGTTGATCACCTTCTGAAACCAGTTGGAATTTGAGATGGTCTCAAAACTGTGATTTGTTTCTGTCCTTATCTGAGGCTGGTAGGTGCAGGAAGGAAAGACTTTAAAACTATCTCTTCCCCACCTTCTTCTGATTTCTTCTTTTCCCCTTTTTCTAAGGAAAAAAAAAATCCTTCCTGGCCTGTATATAGCTTTCAAGAATCTATTGGGTAGCTTTAGAAGAATTAGGTATTATTTTTAGATATGTGGAAGAGATATACTACATTTATGTAGTCCTATACAAAGCAAACAGTATTATGCCACTTTCCATTCTTCGGCTTTGTCTTCAAAGTCTGGTCCTTTCCTGTTATAGAGAAGAGATTGTGTAGGTAATTTCTTTGGTAAGCTAGGAGGGATCCTACAAAATACCGTATTTAGGTGATTCTGTCAGTAAGAATATGACATATTATTATTTATTATTCCTTTGCCATGCATTCAGGAATCCTAGTAATAGGATCATGCCCAAGTTCTGCTTTAAAAAAAAAAAAAATCCTCAAAAGCTTACAATGTAAGTATTACATTAATCATAATATAAATACAGACGTAAAAGGGAATAGAAGGAAGCATGATCTAACTATAGAGCTTTAGAAGTTTCATGTCCTTTATTCTTTGTGGTCATTGTGGTAAGAATAGCTTTAAATAGAATCTAAAGCGCACTCAGGAGAGGGAAGGAGAATTAAACCTCACCTGATGCAGGAAGCTGGTGGGTCATGTATGGCTAAGCTTGAGAGGTGTATAGGCTTGGCCTTTTACTGAATTTTTCTTTATGCTCTGCTTTCAGCCTGTGTTGGAGACAGGATGGTGTACTAGAAGATTCTTTGGTCACACTGAGTATGGCTGCTATTATGCTCACATTTTGGGGTCTTTTAAAAGCAACCTCTTTTCCCAAGCATGAATACAGCATTGTGTGTGCAGGACAGCATAAAAGTGCTTATTTGAAAACTTTAACATGTGAGTTGATAAATGATTCTGAAACTGTTAGTTAGGTAAATTTGGATCAATTTTACCAAACTGAATTGAAGACCAGATTTAAAAGCATCTCAAAAACTGCTTCCAGAATAAAGGGAGGAAGGAGAAAATTTTAAATATATGCATAAGAAGATGTGTAAATACTTCCGGGTTTCAGTTGGTTTGGGTTTTGGTTTGTTCGTTGATTTGGTTTTTTTTTGTTGAGAGATCCAATAATACAGTTCTTGTGGTGTGCTTCAACTGTTAAGTTATTAAACTGATCTTCTCCTAGTAGAAAATCAGATTCTTCAAGAAAGCTTCTTTTGTCTCTACTCGGCATGTGGATTCTGATTTTTGAAGTCTGAAAAAAGTGATTAATTTTAGCAATATTCCTGATGCCAAGAACTTGCTAAGGGGTGTGCAAAATCATTACTATGTTCACTGTCCATTGAAATGACATCTCCTGTTAAACTTTCTTCATGTTGCTCCCCTCAGAGCTGTGTGACTGAAATAAGACTGATTCCTGTCTCTGTTCTTCAGCTAGTTTTTACAGTGTAGTATGGAGTACTTTTAGGAAAGTACTAAAATGATTCACACAATGGAAAGAGAAATAGACTGTGTCACAAATACTGTGTTTTCATCTGTTGTATTTTGAGAGCTGGGTAAATACTGACAAAAAAATGTCAGTACAGACAAAAAATTAGACATGAGAAGATAAAAAATAAATTATCATTGTGATAGAGTTCATCTTGAAAAAACTATTTCTTGATCCATATGCTCCTATAATTTCTCAGAAGACATCAGTTATTCCAAATAAATATTTCTACCTTCTCCTACTTTTTTCAATTTGTTTTGTTTTGTCTCTTTTTTAATGCAGCATGAAGTTCCCCTGACATTCATCATCAGATGCACCCTTTAAAGTTCTCATAGTACCTCTGGGAAATTTATCATACATACGTTACTTTTTGTTAGAGCAGGTGTTTCTCTTGGGAACATAAAATTCTATTAAAATTTCTATGAAGGTAAACTAAAATTCTTCCTCAAATATGGAAATTTTGTATATGGCTTTTTGGTTTGCTCTTGAGATAAATTTCCTGATTTGGTAGTCACGGCTAGTGAATGTTAGATGGAAAAGCCTTTTATATTAGCCCATTTCACTTTTGAAAACAGTTTTTGCATAGTTTTAACATTAAAATGGAATAAATTAAGCATATTCTTCTGAGAGGTTGTCATAACCATGTCTACCATGTGTTCAGAGTCTATGCACACACTGCATTGCTGTATACAAGTGGTGCTAACTTCAGGAACTTCTGAAAAACTTGTGAATATAACCTTATTTTGAACAATGTTCAGCACAGGATTCTGAGACTTTGAAGCATTTAGGTACAGTTCTAAGTTATTGTTGCTCCAGCATTAAAGTCTGCTCCATATTCTCATTTGCTTTCTTAAACAGTATAATTTAGTTCTTACAAATGAAATATTTGCAGCCTTGCTATCTTATGTAATATATTGTTTTATAATTGTTATGAAGTTGTAAATTTTAGAAATAGATTTTATTTAAGTTATTTTATAGTTAGCCCTGTAGCTGAAATTTTGTAGTTTGCAGGTTAGTCACATGAGTTGCAGTTCATTATTGAAATATAGTTCTTGTATAACAGCAATATAATTCTCATCTTTGTTATATCTTTGTTATTTTTGGTGTTTTGTGTTATTTTTGGTGGGAGCTGACTGAAAATTTCATTAATTTATGGTACTTTAAACAGTTTATTTCAGATTTCAGTTCCCCAGTAAAGGGTTACAAATATTTTGGGGAAGACCATTCTTTTTTGACATTTTTTAAAAGGGTGGGTTTTTTCTTCTAAAGTCATTGTTATGTGTTAAAAACTTTTATTTTTAAGGTAATATAAACCAAGGGTTTTATATTTCAAATAAAAATGTTTTGACTTAAAGTATTACTGGTTTGTTTATGATATGTCAAGTGGTATATTGACATGAAATTTTACACTTCTTTTATTTCCTTTTGACCAGTAAATAGAAAAATTTTTTCTCTATGTGGCCTTAACTGTGAAAGACTCTTATTTTTTTGGTTAGTTTAGATTTGTTTATTTAATATGTCCCTTTTACAGGTGACTGCTTTTGTTGCAGTGTCATAATCGGTGTCAAGTAGAGAGTATGGTAATAAAATTTAGTGTTAAAAAAAAATGTAGTAAAGACACAATCCCATATTCTATCTAGGAGTAGAGAAAGTGATTTATTTCAGCTAAACTCAGTAACATTAGCAGCATGTGGCATATACTTACTCATATTCTTTCACTTCTACAATGTCATATCCCAGACAGACTTACAGTGTATTTTTATTCAATTTTCTTCTTTTCTGGGTAAAGAGTGGGTATGTTTGGAGGCAGCAGTAATGTGCTAGTGTGTTCAGCAAAATTGTAATTCATTCCCTGTAAAGCTAAGACTCAAAACAAATTAACAACCTTATCTTGCAGCAAAGATGATGCTTCTTTTAAAAAAAAAAAAAAAAAAAAAAAAAAAAGGCAGCAAGACTTTGCTGTTAACAATGTATTGTATTTTCACAGGTATCCAAATTATGAATTTATCAGTGATAACTCCATATCCTGGTCAGCAGGACTTCATAACCGATACACTGAAAATTCCCTAAGAGGTGTTATTCTGGATATTCACTTTTTGTCTCAAGCAGACTTCCTGGTCTGTACATTTTCATCCCAGGTAAACTGCAATACAAATACAATATGGAGTATATGTACCAATTCTAAACCGTATTTTTCTTCATGCTCCTATAATCTTATTCTCAGTGCGCTCTCATGAAAATTTCAGGGAAGAATTAGAGTCTCGGTATGCTGTGTGAACTTTTAGAGCAATGTAAGCACTGGTTGATTACTTTTCTTCAGTTGAAGTTACTGGTTTAATTAAGACGTTTGAAATAAGCAAGAAATAAACATGTTTAAAGAGTTCCTTGTTTTGCATAAAGTTAATGTATAACTTGTATCTATCCATTTCTATGCAGCTTAGTTAAGGCATTTAAAATAAGTAAAAATAATCTTAAACACGTTTAACACTGCTTAATTTTGCATAAAGTTAATATATAACTTGTGTCCATCCATTTCTACACATCATTGCACTCTACTACAGTTCAAGTGTCTGCTGTTGCCTTAGTTGAATGCCTTAGGGAATGGAACAGAATGAAGAAAGCAGACATCCAATTTCTCTTCAGTCTAACAGTCCAGCAGCAATGTGATAGATGTGAATTCTGACCACTGTAATCAGTAGAAATTTGTTGTTGCAGATACTTATTATACTAGAAGCTTCCTTTGTTGAGTGGTCTGATGAAGCAAGTTGGAGTCCATTACAAAACTTGAACCATACAGTTGTCATTTTTGTAATTTTCTTTATTACATTGTATTGTATATTAATTTCATTTATCATGAAAAGCTCTTTTAAGATTAAAAAAGATCAGAAAGCAATATTTTATAACTGATATGCTAATCCACCTAATGCAAGTATGGCAAAATATGATTGAAATCAGAGTGAATGTTTTTTACCTACTGTTGTCATATATGCTGTTACATGACACTCCCGGTTAGGAAAGCATTCCACTATGGATGGCAACAGGTTATGATCACACACCATTGTACTGTCACATGGAAGTGGACACAAAACTGAAAGTTAAAATTCACTTCAAAAAGAAATGTTTTCCACAGCCACAAATGTAAATTGTTTTCTGCATTAGTGAGAATTAGATAGGTAACAGGCATAATATTAATATCAATTTCTTATAAGAAAAATAATTCTTAATACCATTATCATGACAAGAAGACGGCAAAACCAGAAAAAGTATAGAAAAACCTCTTATCCCTCAGTCATACTTGTGTATACATTTTTTTTTCACTGTTCACCAAACTCTGTGAAGAAAATGACATTTTATAGCATATTTAGAAGGTTATTAATATTAATATACTTCAGAGCACTATATGAATAAGCTCCAGAGTAAAAATCCTCACTAAAAAAAGCTTGTGAGGAGCCATCCACTTTTATAATTATGTTTTATTCAGCTGTATGTCCACTGAATGCATATCACAGTGAAAGGTGGTTATCAGCTAAGACCTAGAGCTGTATATCTTAAATGTCACATGTGCATTGGTGGAGAGACAGTTCATATTCTGAATTCATATTGTGTTGGGTAAAAAATAAGCAATCTATAACATTTTCTGCTATTACTATATTCAGATAGCTGTGTTTAAAAGTGGAAAATGTTTGCTTTAAATAAAGCACTGGGTATAAACAGAGAAGAAATGTTTAAATATAGATACAGATGGCTTGGACAGAATATATTGTAATTGAATTTAAAGCGTTGGGGTAATTTCAAAAGAATAATATTTGTTAAAATACATTGACATAGTTACAGTGATACAGGTTGATGGGGACCTCTGGAGATCATCTGGTACAACCCTTGTGAGGGTACCATTGAGGTACATGGTGAGCTCCACTTTCATTTTGCATCTCCCTGCATTTGACAGTAGACAAGTTTGCAGGATGACATACTTGCTTTTCCAGAGTTGCAGAAAATTCTACTAAAGTCTAGGAAGTCCTGTATTAGGCTGTTACTCACAATAGCTGGGACTATGGTCCAACTATCTACTCTAATTTATTCTGGGCAATTTCTTGTTCTTAAACTCCTCAAAAATCATTTAGCACCAGTTTTGCTGGTCATGCAACAATGTGGAACTCTGCAATGTTTTCATATATTGGGCTTTTCTAAGGTCTGTTGCAAGTTTTCCTGCTGTTCAGAAAGTTTTCTCTTTTATGAGTTTAAAATTGTATCCTCTGATCTCTACATTTGAACTACCATTCCTGTCCTTTCATCAATGAAATAAACAGTTTGGTAATCACTTTGGCATTGAAGGTAAGCAAAATGAGACTGTTAGTGATCATCTTTTGTCCAAACTGTATGAAGAGAAAGTAAGTATAAGAATGTAGTCTACTTTATTTCCACTGTGATTTTGGACTTTCACAGTAATCAATTGTATGCTGATTTTTTCCATTTTCTTTTCCTTGCCAAAAAAAAGTCAAAGCTTCACTATAGAGGTGTTAAGAGAAAATTACAGTATATGTGAATAGAATCAGGTGCTTTAGGAAGTCTTCTATGTTAATTCTTATTTATGTTATCAAAACTAAATTAATACTGATATAAGCCAAAGAACAGATACTTCATTAAAATATTGTTGTTAATGAAATTAAGCCCATCAATTGATGTGGAGTGAAGGGAAACAACCTACCTTGTCACTGTATTTCATCAACACTGCCTTAACTGAGATGCATAGAAAATCCACATGGTAGGTAGCTACACAAATTGTAACACAGTAGCAGAATTAATATTGCACATTAAAACAAAGAGCTTTTTTCTCTTCAGTCTTCATTTGGATGAAATTGTAGCTCCCACTGCCTGACATATTTTGCTTCATTATCTCATTTCCTTCCAGGACTTATTAGTCTTTGTAATTTGCATTGTACATGTAAGTGTACAGGCTGCAAAACAAGTGAATCTATGAACAAAAAATGGGAGGCTGGCTTTAACTATAATTCTGCATGTGTATTCTTTGCCTGCTGTTCTGAACAGCTTATAGTTTAGTTACCCGCTACAAAGGAAACAGTTGCTGAGAGATGTATGTTTTATGTCAGGTATGCAGGACACTTATACTCACCAAAAAGCACTTCTACTGAAGAGATTTAATATCTTTTACAGAGTGTGTGCGTGTATCCTCCTGGGGCGCCCACACATGCAGAGAACAAAACATCAAAACCAGTCACCGAAGCTATAAAATAAATGACCTCTTACCAATGTATGGGTAATCAAATTTGTTTCTGTAGTATGGGGTATAACAGGTACTTCAAAATAATTAACTTCAGCCTGATCTTCTTAAAGCTACTTCTGAAAAGTTCATTCAAAGATCAGATGGAGAGGGATAAAAGGAAATCTATTACATTTTTAAAGCAAATGCCTCTTTCAAAGAAGCTAGGAATGTACAAATATGTTTAGTCTGACTGATCAAAGTTCTATTCTCTGTATCTTCAGAGGGAGGAAAGAAAAGTAAAATCAAGTTTTACTATAGTTACATAGACTGAAAATTATGAAAAAGCTGAAATGCTGCTTCATATTGAAGAAGTCTGCTGTGTTGTTAGTTTATGAAGCTTTATAAAGCTTACAGAAAATCAGAGAAAGTTACAGCTGTGTGGATCAGAATTCAGAAATGTCACAGTGGCCAGATTGGACACCTGACAGAGAAGAGCTTTCTAGCTCATTGTTGAAAAGAGCTTTATTTAATACAGTGGCAGCCTCTTGTGTTTCTGGAAACTCTGGGAGATCCAACAAAATTCTGATATGGGGACCTGTTTTCAGCCTGAAGAAAATGCCCTGGGTAGCATGTGACATTTCAAAATGCATCTTCCTCCTCACCAACATCATTATTGTCTGCTGAAATTGTTTCATTTAGTTGTCTTCCAAGTTACCAACAGTTATCATTCTATCACTGTTCTAATATTAACAGCATTTTAAAGTCTTGGACTTCTGGAACTGCTTGATTGTGAAAATTGGAACTTCAGGAAAGTAAATGTAAAGCTTTGTTATTGCAGAATAAATTTTGAAAGTGTAAGTTCTAAAGTTACAAAGGAAAATAAAATACAGTTTTTGTTAGTAGAAAGGGGAAACAAATTTGCTTTTACATTTGAGTGGCTACACATTATTAATTTTAAAAAGCAGGATGACTAGTGTTCATACAGATGTTTTTAATTTTTACTGAAAAGGGAGCTCTTCTAACTATTTATCCATTTATTTACCAAATCTGATCACCAGAGTACCAATTAAAATGCTGCGAAATTGTATGCTTCTTGTTAGTAAATATACAGGGTTTTTTGGTTTTGTTTCGTTTGTTGGGGTTTTTTTTTGACCTGGATATTCCAAAACTTGATCCTCCTATGAAAGTTAATTTTTATGCATTGGTTGCTGACTTCTGTGGTGTACTGCAGGCGCACACAATATTTATGACTTCTCTTCTGTTTTTATTTCTAAGGTTTGTCGAGTTGCCTATGAAATTATGCAGACATTGCATCCAGATGCTTCAGCATATTTCCATTCTTTGGATGATATCTACTATTTTGGGGGACAGAACGCCCACAATCAGATTGCTATTTATGCTCATCATCCACGAACTGCTGATGAAATTCCTATGGAACCTGGAGATATAATTGGAGTAGCTGGAAACCACTGGGATGGTTATTCAAAAGGCATCAATAGAAAATTAGGAAGAACAGGCCTGTACCCGTCCTATAAAGTTAAGGAGAAAATTGAGACAGTCAAGTATCCTACATACCCAGAGGCTGACAAGTAGATTAAAAGGAAGACAGTCGGCAGGAATTCTCAATTTTGATTGGTTCGAACCAGTCAACACACTAACAGTTTATATGGGATTTGAATTTGCATTTTAACATGCAGTTAAAATCAAAGCCTTTAAGCGATGAAACTGGATAAGAAGCTGAGAACGAATGGATGGGCTATTATCTGAACTTACTCTTAAACATTTTTTTGTTATATGCACTCTCACACATGCACACACAAAACCACATGCAACAAGAAAACTGTTGTTTTATACTCTTAGTCTCTTTTCAGGATTTGTCCCAGTCATTAGTCTTATGTGAGCTTTGGGCTCTTTTCTCTGCCATTAATTGACAATAATGTTCAGACTTATCACTGCCGCATTGTGTAATTTGAGTGACATGAACATATTTTGTATGTGCAAAATTGAAAACATGGTGCCTATATTTGAAAAATTTGTGACCTTTTTAGAAGAGCCATGCCTATTTCACAATGGGCAAGAGTCAATCTTCAACTGGTGTTACCGTGACCACTGAACTCGCTTCAGACAACAGATTAAGATTTCAGACTAGATTTCTTTACAAGTTTATTTTTAGCATTCCATTGATTACATCTCATCATTAATAAAATAAAGGATACATCCAACAATAAAATAGTCACTGTCTGTTAGGAACTTCTGTGAAACAGTGCCACGAACAGAGTCTTTAGTATTGATAATGTTTCTGGACGTTGCCTTTGATTGAAAAAACAAAAAACAACCCAAAGAAACCATAAAACCCACAAAGGAAAATTAGCTGGTATTTAATTGAATTTTTACACACTCGTCGTGTAGTACAACAACTGCTTAGTGACACAGTATTGCTCAGTTCTGTGGACAGTGGGTTTCAGCAGGATTACTTCAGTGGCTCAGTTTCTTACATTTACTCTCTAGCACTGTTCTTTTACCTTCTGTGTTTCTCTTCCAAAAATAATTTTTTTAGGGTATTATAGATGGCCATTTATAATTTTGGCATTGAATGTCATTACTTTTAAGTAAAATACTTCAGATTATCCCATGTATGGAACCTGTCAATCTGGAGTACTCTAAAAAAAAAATCTAACAATTTACCCCAAAACCGTTAGGTTCCAAGAAGATATAAACAAGGATGAATTTTTATGCATGACATAAAACTGTTAGTAATTCTTAGTGTTTTGAAATTTGTTGCTAGTCTGCTCTCTATTAAGAGAAGAGATAATTTACAAACCAATTTTACAAACAAATTTGTAGATTTGGGGGGTTGTGTGTGTATATATATATATTTTAAAAATATACAAGAAATCAAGAGATTATTTCCACATAGAATATTAATGGCATTATACAGGTTCTAGTGCAGTCCAATCTGGAATACTGGAAGTGCAGAAAATGTTTACTGTTCAGACTCTGAGAAAATGCCACGTGACTAAAGATAAAAAAGAATGGCTGTTTGACCTTAACAAAGTAAAAGTTAAAAGGATATTTAATTCTATTTATGTATAGACCAAGGACAGTGTTGACATAGCGAATGGATGCACTTGACCATGAATAAATTTTAGGCTGAATAGTAAGAGGCAATCTCTGGTGGTGTGAAGTTCAGCAACAGTCTTCCAATTGAAATAGTGGTGAGTAAGATGGAACTTGTTTGGTATGTAAAGGAATTACCTAAGGAAGGAACTGTCTCTCTGACATTACTTGCAGGACTGATCCTGTAGATCCCTTTCAGTTATGTTTCTCAACTAAAAAAATATTCTGTGTCTTGAAAAAGAATAACAAAATCCAAGTTGGAAGCTGCTGTAAAAAAATTAAAAATTACTGTTAGTAGTGTTAAATAGACACATCAGTAAAAATGAGCATAGATACTAAATGGGATTTAAAGATGGATTGATGGATAAAGGCAAATGAATAAGAGTGGCCAAGATATGCTAAAGATGATGAATTTTTGTGACTAAATGTGGCTAGAGTTAATTGGTAATCTGTATTTTGGAACTACTAAGGAAGCTGTTCAATGTTAGTTTCCTGTCTAAGTGATTCTGATAAATTTTCAACTAACTTAGCCAAATGTGTGATATTTCAGAGGCACAAATGTAAGCTAAATTATAACCTTTTCTTACTTAAATTTGAATTGTACATATAAAGCTATTGCTACTTTCCTTTTCCTTGGAAAGAAAAAAAAATCCAAACCCACAAACATTTCTTCCTCAGCAATTAGATCAATGTGTTTTATCTTTGGGAAAACTAATTTAATTATTTCTTCGCAAGTACTACATTATCTATTTGATATTTATAGATTTTGAAAGTATTTTTGAAGCTCTTTACTTACAGCTTCATTTAACGAGAGTGATGCAGAAATAATATTAATAAATGAATTAACATATGAAAATTCCTCCATAGTCAGATGACTCAATTGAAAATATCACTAAAGAAGATAAATAACAGAGCATCTAAGATGGCAAGAGCAGATCTGATGTAGTAGTGAGAGAACTGGAATCACTGATGTTATAAAAGACATAAGTATATAATGTGACAATTTCTCAGCAGACTATGTCTGACAAAATACTGGCAAGGTACATGTGCCTCCTTAGATATTCCAAGTACCTAATGAATATTTAGCTCATCATCTTTGAGAAAATGATTATGAAATGGTAAGAAATTATAAAATTATTGTTAAGAAATGTACTAATGTAGATGCTATGACTTTATTCCCCTGGGCCTTATAATCCTCTAGTGCTTATAATGCAGTACTTCTCAGAGGAAGAAACCTAGCAATAGACTGCTTACTAGATACATCCGTTTCTAGAGATTTGTTTCCTTTAAGAATACCAGTTAGTTACATCTTGGAATCCTGGGGCCTTTGGACATTAAAACTGAATTTGTTTTATATTAAACAAAATGAATATTAGAGACTCTATTCTCCGTTACAGTGGAGTCCAGTTAGTATGGAAGGATCCATGGGTAAATGAAAATGAGACTCCCCTCCCCCTGATTTTTATAGTAGCTCATGGAAAAGTGAAACAACAGGAAATAAAAATTTTGTCTTAAATACCTGAAAGCAAGCTGAATCTTTTGAAGGTTGTGAACTCCTTAGGATACTAGCCAGAATGCTTGCAAGCAAGCAAGTGTACATCTTGATTCTTCCATTTGCCTTGTAGCTCTGCAACAATCCAGTCATGTAATTTTTGCCTCGTACCAAACCACCGTGTCTGACATCCGTAAAGACAACCTTCATGCTCTCTTAAACAAGCTAATGTCTAATTAAATTTTTCCTCTTTAAGAAGCATTTGTGCGTGTGTATGTGCGCGCGTGTTGTGTTCACAAAAAAGAATATGAATTAGTACTCTGCTATTTTACATTATCGTTGGCACATTCTCTGTAATAACTTATTTGCCAGATAAATGTAGTCTCTGGAAACTGAATATTCTACTTGCTTGCCAGCTGGGGTAAGAAATTTATTGAGTAGTTCAGTTAACTGGTCTTCTGTGACGCTGGTATGCCTGGAGACTGGGGTCATCATCAACAGTTTGCTGCTACCACTGCAATTACACCAGCCTGACATCTTTCCTTGATTTTCAGTCCAGCCTACAATCAGGTGCATGGGATTCCCAACCCTCCTCTACCAACATCCTCTCCCTGTGAACTGCAGAGTGTTATGGATTCATTCATGAAGGATGTTTTATTTCAAAAATTTAAAATATTTACCTTCAGAGAAGTCTTTTGTCTACCCCTTCTAGCACTGAATTTTAAGGAAACTTGCAATTACTAGAGAGTTTTCTCTCCTTCACCAATTTTTCAGAAAACAGAACTGATGATACCTTTCTTATGGAGAGATATTCACAGTGTGAAAGTTTCATCCATGAGAGGTTTTATGTTTCTTTGGTATGCAATTATAGAACAAGGATCTTGTTTTCTGAGCTAGGAACATGAAAGAATATAAAATAGAAAATTTTCATTACAAATTCTTGAAAAGAGAAGGGAGATTTTCCTTCATGCCAGTGGAGTATCACCTACCATTTGGAACTTTTTCAAAACAGTGAACTGAAATTTTGTTTTTCCATGTCATAAGTTTCTTTGCAATGTAATCTCGCAAATATCTGAAGAATCAAGGTAAAAATCTGCTTAATTTGGGTGGTGGGAAGGAGAAAGTCTAATGAGAAGACATAATATTGTACTCTGAATTTTAAGTTGCTATATCAGTTTATAAAGCCATGAATAAACCTTTCAATTCTGTGTTAAGGACCTCTGCCAGCAAAAAAATCTTTCTGCTCTGTCAGAAATACTTAACATTTGCAACCCCTCTTTTGATTTTGCCTAATACCAGTCCCAGTCATGTATAAACATGATTCTGATCATTAGTTGTTACTCTATTACAGTTTCATTCATATTTGGGTGAGTTGGGAGCAGGCTGTCAAAGGGCACAAGCTTTGTTTGATTTTTCTTACTGTGTTGAATTAAAACGGTGTTTAAAACTCACAGAAATTCCATTTCCCTAAGGCACCACTAGAATTCTAATTGTGGTCTACAGACTTTTTTCAGGGTCCCCTCTATGTACCTGCAAGCTTATTGGGAGCAAGACTGAAGCAAAGGAAGTGATGCATAAATATCAACTGCAATCAGGTTGGGTTAGGCTTCACTGTGTCTTGTTCATTTCTAAAAAGCATGAAATGTGGCACTGCATGGTACAAATAAGAGGGTAGTATAAAATTTCTAATCCTACAAAAAAAAATCTTTTTGCCTGCATCACTGGTTGCATTCACTGTGTAAAAGATTATTTCAGAATCACAGTACACAATTCAGAGTTCTTCCATCATTACTGCAGGCATCTGAGAATCCATTTCCACTGCTGTGTTTGCTGGTATTCACCCCTTTTGGTACCAGGTACAAATACCCAACAATGCTGATGGTGTTTCAGTGAAACCTCCTTTATTTTGTATGCTTGTTTCCTTTGGCTCAACTTGTCAGCAGAATCCTATTGCCACTGCAATTCAAGCAATCTGGATTAATGCAAAGGCTTGCCAATTGTTTGCACCAAAATGTCTTTACTGTTGCTCAGCATTAACTTCACGCTCTTAGGCTGACTCTTAAGGAGACACTGTTGAGGGAAGGAGCTGTCTCTACTGGACTATGCTGTACATGTTATAAAACTGCTGACACATACATGTACGGGCTTTATGTTCAATTTTGCATGATTTTTCCACTTGTGGTAGACTGAAGATTTCAGTTTTATTTTAGTCTGTGAAGAGTTTTCTTGAGCACGGTGAGACAAAGTCCCAACTATCCTACCTTCAAGAAGTATATTGGACCTCAACCCATTTCCTCTAATTGTCTTAAAGACACTCTCCAGTCACACCATTTCAATAGAGTCATCTAGATGGATGTTTCCTGAAGACTACATCATTTTTATACTCTTCCATTAGCACCACTGCCTACTTGCATCTGAGCCTGAACTACCATGGTTGTATGAACCTTCTTCAAACCTTCCTACTTAGTGTATTTTGGTTTCCTTACCTAGAGGCTAGTGGTCATTACTTGACCAGGAATCCAAGGGACAGCAAGTGTCCATATTTGAGCTTTCATAATAACATGTTGAATTATATTTCTTGTGGGTTTTTTGTTTGTTTTTTTTCTTTTTTTCTTTTTACAAAGTGCATTTTTAGATTTTCCCAAACCAGTATGGTCAGGGATTCAAAGAGAAAACACCATAATCAGATGTGTCTAAAAAGAGTTTAGGAGGCTTACAAGGCATAGGAATTCCCTGTCTAATAAGACTTACAGCTTACGTTGCGGCAAGTTTCTTGACCAGGTGCAAGGTGTATTCTCATAGCATTCCCTATCTAGTTTTGTCTAGCAGTTATTATACACTAAAGCCTGCAGTTTATTACACAAGCAGTAGGGACACAATCTGAATGCAGTCTTTATACAGGACCATAAGAGATAGGTCATTTTCTTCAGTCTTAGAATCCTTTATTTTAGCTTAGTTTTAGTATTCGTGCTGTCTGTCTTTGCCAAGATTTTTTTATATAGTACAGCAGCACAATTCTCAACCATTCAACTACAAGTAGAGCCACAAGAAT